TTGTATAATATGTTGTGTATGTGTGAACAGTAAGGAACCCGGTCAAACTAGAGTTAGACGCTGGGGTTTTGGAATCGACGAGGTGTTGAAAGATCCCGTTGGGAGAGAGCAGTTCCTCAAGTTCCTGGAGTCTGAATTTAGCTCGGAAAACCTCAGGTACACCTACAGTACACTTCCCCTTTATGCCCCCTGCTGGTGGGGAAGCAGTACTACAAACCCTACAGATCCACTGAGCAACTACTTTTTTATTCTTAATTCATTCTCTGTTGTTATCCAAAACTCAGATTCTGGCTGGCAGTGCAAGAGTTAAAGAGGAGGCCAATCCGTGAGGTGCCAACACGGGTGCAGGAGATCTGGGAGGAGTTTTTGGCTCCTGGAGCCCCCAGTGCCATCAACGTTGACTCGAAAAGCTACGACAAAACCACACAGAATGTCAAAGACCCAGGACGATACGCTTTTGAGGATGCACAGGTGAGGAGCTTATGTTTTTGAGCAGCTACACTGATTATGGTTTTTTAATGAAAATTGATGTAAACAAGCCATACAATTTAGTTTATGAACATGCAAATGAACTGTAAATGTGTGTGTCCCAGGAACACATCTATAAGCTGATGAAGAGTGACTCTTACAGCCGTTTTATTAGATCCAGTGCCTACCAGGAGCTTCTGCAGGCTAAGAAAAAGGTAAAACATTTGGGAAGCAATTTGACGTACAGTCATAATCAGTACAGAGTAACTCATCTTGAATACATAAAAAATGCCCTGATACAGATATACTACTGTTCAAAAGTTTGGGGTCGATAAAATTGTAGATATTTTTTAAAGGTGTCTCACAAAAACTGTATTTTTTAATTAAAAAAAAAAGTAAAAACAGTAATATTGGGAACTATCATTACAATTTAAAATAACGTTTCTATTTTGATACATTTAGAAATGTAATTATATCCTGTGATATGAATTTTCGGAATCCTAAAAATTCTATAAAAAAAAAATGTAATCCTGTAATATGAATTTGAATCCTGCTGCTTAATTTTTCAGCAGCCATTACTTTAGTTACTCCATTACTCTTCAGTGTCACATGATTCTTCATAAATCATTCTAATATGCTGATTTGTTGCTCAAAATCATTTCTTATCGATGTTGAGAACAGTTGCTGCTCAATATTTTTGTGGGGAAAATAAAGTACAAATACTTTGATGAATAGAAAGTTCAAAAGTACAGCATTTATTTGAAATTCGTTTGAATGTCGCTTTTACTGTCAATGTTATGTGTCCTTGCTGAATAAAAGTATTCTTTTTTTATCGGACTGACTCTGAACTTTTGAACAGTAGTGTATGTGAAGTTATCTTTTCAATAATGCTTTAAATTAATCGTATATAAAAGTATTTGCTGAGAAAAGACCCAAATCCGGCATATTATTTTTGTAAATCATTGAACATATGAGTCAGTGTATTGTTTGTTTGATTTATTTGCATGGCATTGAACATGTTATTAGAGCCGTGTTTTTAGGGCCCTGATTGAAAAATAGCTCAACTTTAAAAAATGTGTGTTGAGACCCTGCATTATTTTCCACTCTTTTGTCCGAATTGTTTTTAAATGCAAGAACACACTTTCTAGAATAACAAAAAGTTTATTTTGGGATTAGGGTAGGATAGGATGATGTGGGTTAGTTGTTATGATTATAATGTTATTTTAAAAACAGCAGTAAAACGGAAGTATTATAATGTCGTATTATTTGGGGAAATATTATATTTGTTAGAAACCAAAATCTCTTGTTTTAAAATGAATCCGTGATTCAGCAGTTCAAGAAAGTGATTCATTCTGATAAATCTGATTCATTTGAATTGACACAAATAGATGGGCATATTA